TTCTCTAGAGGGAAGGAAGAGAGGCAATGGTCCCAGAGAAATGTAAGCAATTGTACAAAGAATGCTCATGTTAGCTCAGGCTGAGGATCTGTGTATTGGATCTGTGTTGTCTCCTTGCAGCAGGAGCTGCTGAAGGACAGAAAGAAGGAAGAAAAAAAAAGTTTACTTGCTCTGCTGACAAGAGAGGAAAAAATGTAATTTCCTTTGGAAAGGGAGTGGAAGTGTTGTGGGGGAACAGGTATATATCAGAATATAAAGAGTTGTGTACAATTTTAGGCTTTGGAGTCTGTGGGCATAGACTTTTGAGATATATATATTAGTCTCATGAGCTGAACTTCTGAAACAGACTTTGTTTTTCATGCTTTCAAACAAGGCTTTAAATGTCTTTCCTTTGAAGGAAGAAAGATAAAGAAACATGTACTTATTTTTTTACTTCTGATTTTTCATCAAATTGTTTCTTTTTTTTTTTGTCTAAGATATTAGGGTTGGAAAATCTGTCTTTAAATAATAGCATCCAAATAGCACAAAAACAAGCGATTATGATTTGTATTTCAGCATTGCAGAATTAATCTGAAATTACAGGCTTGTGACACTGAATTAAAGTTTTTAGGCAGAAGACTGGAACTTGATGGTAAGTCTATTGGACTAAAAATACCCACAATGTAAGCTACTCAATTTTTCAAAATAGCTGGTTAGAAAAAAGCAAACTGCCACTATATGAAAAGCCTGTCTTTATTTTAGGGCAGTAAATAATGAAATATTGTACTTAGTGTGTTTCTCAAGTTCTGAGGAACTCACTTGAGTTTCTCACTAGATTATGACTGTGTTTTAAGATATAAAGTTTTAAGATATAAAGAACATGAAGAAAGTGTTTGCTGCAGTTTTGCTGTTGTGCCTTTTCCCTGGAGGAAAGGTTTAAGATGATACCATTATTACTATTACTCATGTCTATTGCAACAGTAATGCATAGACCCGGACAGATTGTCCGCAAGATTCTTGTAGCAGCAGAAATCTGTTTACCACTGATCTTGAATATAAGTTTTGCAAATATTTCTTAAGTTAGTTGGCAATTAATTTTTCTCTTCTCCAGGTAATACATTCTCTTGTTTGCATTTCTACTTTCTTTCACTGTTTTCTCCTAAAAATATTTGTGGCTACTAATAGGCTTCACAACTCCCAGGAGAAAGATCACTGTGATCACTTTTCCAAAAGCCTCAGTATCGCGCAGTTCAGGTCTGACGTTGTCTCAAGTCCAGCAGTGGCAGTGGATGCTGGGCTTCCTTAGGAGCAGCTGCCGCTGCCCTCTAGCAGAGGCAGGAGAAGCTGCATGTGCTGCTTCACAGTCCCTGTAGCTTTGAGGCCCGTGCATAAATTTACAGCACCCATTGATCCTGACTCTGTTAGGACTGTGCCAAGCCAAATGGTGGATGAGAAACTGGTCTATATTTTCTTCTGATGATTGTCACTAGGGTGCTCATCGGGGGTAGTGTGCACTCTGGCAGCTGTAACTCTTCAAACTTCATCAGCCAGGGATGCCTGCTTGTACTGGGTGCCAGCCTCAGCCTGTCCCCAGGGACCTCTTGGGTCATCTTTGACTCCTGCTGGGGTCTTGCTAATGCTTTCTCAGTGTGGGAATCAGACTCATAAATATGATTATTACTTCAAAAAGGAACTGGAAATTAAGAGGAAACAAGGGAACTGGTTGCAAATAGCATATGGAATATGGGGCATCACTAAATCAAATGATGCCAATATAATAATAAAATGAAATATAAAAAAATATTTGAGGGGCTTTTGGAGGATTTTTGTGTGGGAGCATGTGTGCTGGGTCAGTATTTTCTCTGTTGAGGGCTTTGCTGAGCTATAAGCTTGTGTTCTTCACTTGTGCTGATTTTCAGAAGTTTTCAGAGGAGTGACATTGATATTAACTGACAGGTCATCAAATTCAGCTGAATGAGGTGAGGGCTAGAGTGAGGGGGAGCTGAAGTCAAGTTTCTTTTTTTTTTTTTTTCCCCCCTTTGGAGATGGGATGGGGGAAGGGAGTAGTATATCCATCTGGTTTATATTGCATTGTAAACTGCCTTTGTTTTAACCAAATTGGGGGAACAAAACCAAAGATGTTTGTAAGACTGTTGTAATCAGGAGCGTGATGAGATGACCTAAGTGCAGCCTGTTTTTGGGGAAAAAAAACTGAAATCAAACAGCAAGAAAAACCTCTTGAAGTGCAAAGAATATTTTTTCCTTTTGATTAATGTGAAAGTAATTAGCAGGTAGTATGGCTTTAAAAATGACATAAGGACAGGCAAAGTAGGACAAAAGTCTTTGCCCGCACCTTTGGGACTATGATGACGAATATTTGGAAGATACCAGTTTATTCTTGGGCAAAATTTAATCTTTCTTTTTCTGCTCTTCTTTAACATGCATTCTGTGTCATGGAAATTAGAATGCAAGTCAGTTTAATTACTTTTGCTGTTGTTCCAGTCCCATGGATTGGATAAATATTAGATTTATGAATAGATTTAATTAGCTCTGGAGCTTTTTTTAATATACTCAAGCAATTCTGGCTGTACCTAGTAAAAGGTCATGAAGAAAGATGTCCACAATGGACTTTGGTCTAGGCATGAGGTCTTCCTTATGAAGCCTTAGCTGATTAGTTAGAACTATAGATGTTATATCCCTGATGAACTTGTTAATCTGAGAGTAGCAAAATTATTCATACCACAGTCTTAGAAAACAGAACCTGGCATTAGCTTCATTAGCATGTGCTCTAGGATGATAGACTCTAAAATTAGGAGGTGTCAGTGTAGTGCTATACTTCTGTGGCGTTTTGGTCACTGCATGAGGTGGAAAAGGTTACTGAGAAGTGTTTGACTGAATAGAGCAAAGTCAATATGAAGGGCAGGTAAATGTATCAGGGCCTCTCAGCATGAGGAAATGAGTCCAGGCTGCTTATGATAGAAGACTATGAATCTGTGAGTGGCATACTAAAGTGTGCAGAGCACTCCTATCTCTGATTTTTTTTTTTTTGTGTCACAGATAATTGAAGGTTGGCACAGTGTACTTGGGAAATGCCAGCATTCGCTTCCCTTGATTAGTGACAATGACCAATGCAGGCAAAACTTTGGCTAGATGGACCTTCAGTCCAAGTTGGTGTGGCTGCTCATGTTCCTTTGTAAATAGGCATGTTTATGTTTGTGGATGAGCAAGAATCCTCTCTAAGATCCACAAGTCAAGAAAACAGCAACATAAGATGTCATGCAGTGATTGGGAATATGATGGAGGGTGAAGAAAGGCTAGGGTGGAGAAGCAAAATAATTGCAGCAAAGAAAAAACCAGTAACAATATACTAATTCTCCTGTTGGTACAGTGGATTTTCATATAAATAAGTAATTTTTGATTTAAATTATACAACAATTTAAGATGAAGAAGTGAACAAAAGCCCAAGTGGTTATGTGTCATTTGTAAAACAGTGCAGGTCTTCCATCTTCTGAAACTGTGTCCTACATTTCTCTTTCCAGGTACCACAGCCTCCTTATCATGCTGTGTGGCTTTGCAAGTTCACTGGCTGTTAAAACTGCAGAGTTTACTTAGCAGTAGAAGATTTTTACTCCACATTAGTACTAAATATTGTGGCCACTGTGCTTATGGATTTTGCCCGGTTACATTGTGGTCCTTTGTGCTACAGTAGCAGTAAAACTGCCACGGTCAGTGCATGCAGGCTGCTTTGCCAGCTACTCCATGGTTGGTGTACCTAAAACTCCCAAAGCACTTCCACCGTGTTCAATTACAGTTTGGTTGCTAAAACCTGTAGTGGTAGCTCTTTCTGTGGCATGAAGCACCAAACTCATTTCATGTAGCTCATTCTTTAGGGAGCTCTGTCAAATGTATTTGGCTGCTCAGACCCATGAACTGGTTCCTTAACAGTCCCTCATAGTTATAATTTACTGTAGTAATCCCAGAGCTGCTTCTGAGGAATGATTTATTTTTGTTTTCATGTTTCTGAAGGGGTCTCAATCTTCAGTCTCCTGAAGGAATCTGAAGTGTCATCTGCTGCAAAAAGCTGAAATTATGGATGACAAGTGAGACAGCAGTGTTTGCATCCTGAACCTGATGCAGAGGGTCTGAATTACCTGTGGGAAAGCAAAGGCGATATGTCTGTTTTCCTATTTCATGAGTGAATTACAGCTAGGACTTGTACTTACCACAGCAGAATACTCAGGTTTGTGAACCAATGCAGGTCAGTAATTTAGGCAATAAAAGCAAAATCTGTTTTGGTTCTTGGACTGAGAACTCTAAACTCATTTCATAAGTGAAAGGTTTTGGCAAAACAATTCTCACTAAAGGAGGGAATTTTAAGCACCTTCATAAATGCAGTGCTGGATGTCTGCCTTCACTGACATTCTAATTTTTTCCTTTTCTGCTAGAAGTCTTTTCTTTCTAAAAATATTTACTTGACTCTGCATATTGCTGCCTAATCTAAAGATGGATAATAAAATGCTGATTTTAAAATCCCAAGTAGTTCAGGATATAAGAATGACTTTTTAAATATTGCTAAAGTGATCTGTTTGGAGCAAATTTTCGAACTGATTATGCTCTTCTGGCTGTAGTGTGGTTTCTACACTACCAACCCCCCACTTCCTCCCCCTATAACCACTGCTGCTGCCCTAATCTTCTAGACCATTTAGTGCCCTCCTCTTATCCTGTAAGTAAAATACAATTGCTGGCTCCAGTATTCATTAGGTGATAATCCAGATTAATTCAGACTTTGATGTAGAAACAAGTCCTATTTCAGCTGCCAAGAAATCCAGATTGCCCCATGGAAAATGCACACACACATGCACATACACACACACACACACACACGCACGCAGTATGTAGAATGCCTTAAAGAAACTGTAGCTAACCACCTTATTAGTATTCCTCCCTCCTCTGTGTTTCACTTGCAGCAACAGAGGGCTGAGCAAAATGCAGTAGAACAGGGACAGAGACAGAGCTGGCAATCATCTCGGTGCAGGCTGCTGAATGTAGGGGGTGGGGGGGATGCAGCAAAGCAAGATTAATAACCTTACCATAATCCTGTGCACCCTGGAAGGAGATACCTCCGGTGACTGAGCTGTTCTTGTCTTGATTAATTGGACTGAGTGAATGAGTGGCTGGCAATCCACCTGGTTTGGAGGCGACCCCCTGGTTTTGCTGCTCTCTGAATCCTCTACCCATCTGGGAAGGTAACAGTGAGACATACCATCTGCAGCACACACAGCAGCTATTGGAGGCTACTACTGACAGTTTGCACTACAGTTTTTTGGTGAGCAAGAAGCCAGGTATATTGTACAGTAGGATATTTCTGTGCTCAAGCTACTGAATTTCACAATCTGGTCCTTCAGCAACCCCCTACGCTCCCTTTCCAATTGCCTTTGAGTTCTGGGCTTACTTTTGGCATAGTCTCCTGGACGCATTTTGCTGGGGATGGAAGAGCAGTAAATGGAACCTCTGAAAACTAATTGTTTTGCTTCTGCGTGACTCGAGAAAGAGAAAAGCTTTAAGAATCATATCCACTTGGAGGAATTTAAATTTCTCTCTGAGAAGTTTATAGAGGAACTGTACTAAAGGTAAGTCCAGGGGATTGTATACCCCTTCTGTTTCCTTGTTTGTTTCCTGCTTGCTCAAAGTAGGGGAAAAAGGCTAAAACGTTAGTACTGGGTGCATACAGAGTATGGTGTTTTTAAAGTCTGTGCTTGTGATTTGCATTCCCTTTTTACTTCCTTTTCTGCTTTTTTTTCCCTCCTTCCCCTGCCATTTGCACAGTAAAAATGCTTGCAAAATAATAATCTATAGGGCTCCTGGAAAATGTTAGTTAAATAGCACTATAAAGCTCCTTTTATTTCAAGGGTATTAGAATTTCTAGGAGGAGAAATCTTTTTATTAAACAAGCTAAAATATTTGGGAACTATCTCGAATGGGCAAGAAATATAGCTCGTACAGTATCTTCAATAGAAGCCTCCATATTTTCATAAATCTTGTCTAGTTTTTTCTCTGCATTTCAGTCAGCTCTGGAATGATGAATATGTAAGTACAAAGCTGTTTCTGGTGCTGTTAGCTGAAGGAGAAGGTAGCAGAATAGAAATTTGTGGATTTGTGCATCCACTTACATGAAGTTCATCTGTTTGCTTCTCATTAACCTTTTGAATGCTGCTTTCCTTTTTTTTTTTTTTTTTGGCATACAGAATTTATGCAATATGCAGGACCAAACAGTAATAACTCTTATGGTGTAAAGTGCCAGTCACAAGTGGGTTTTTGTGGGCCATTAATTTTTGGGATGGGGGTGCTACTAAGCATTCAGGTGATGAACGTAAATGCTTCATCCAGCATGGTTCATTGCACTCCAGAATTTCTGGAGATCTATCAGTTGTATTGCTCTGGTACTACTCAGTATTTCAGCCTGGCACTTTGCCTCCCCCTGCACCCCCTTCCACACTGCAGTTTCTACTGTAACAGTATGACTGCTTTAGCCTTTCCCATCGTTCCATTAAATAATACAAATAAAATACCATTGCACTACAATAGAATCAGAGCACTTGTAGTTGAGCCTTTTTTTATTGCTGCACTGATAGTACTTAGCATTCACAAGGAGGTAAGCAAATCTGTAAATACATTTCCAAGATGCTTCATTCTCCAAGTGCAATTGCTAGGTACTCATGCCTTTTCAATTAAATGACTATGAATGACTAATACTGAACAATACAGTATCTGTTTTTGAAATACTGCATAGCTGGATATGTACTATAAAAAGACAGGGATCAACATAGAGTTCTACTGAGTAACCAGATGTTCAGGTGCTTCTATGTGTGTATGCAAAGAAAAGGGGAATTACATCAGAATTGTAAATACGAAGACACATTAGATAGGATGATCTGTTTGGTACAAAGAAGTATAATGACCCTTGTAATAGATCCTGTGTTGTAAAGCTAAAAACTTAATGAAAAGGCTCTGCTTCAGAGTAATCAAATCACTTTATATTATTGCATCCTGTCAGTCAGTCCCTCTATTTCCCACTGGTTTTGCATAATAACTTTAAAGATGGATTAAGGAAGAAAGGGAGAACTGGTTATAGGTGTGTTTCCCCTCATTTTCTGGAAGTGATGCTTCTGTGTTGCATGTGCATTTACTGTATATGATTATGACAACCAGATCTCTTTCTGGGCAGGATGCACTTTTCCATAGTTTTCCCATGTTGTACTTTGCTCAAGCCCCAAATGCGTGCTGCATCAGAATCTTACTTCACCAGGCAATAAGCTGTGTTTTAACTATGGGAACAGACTCTGTGTAATGAAGGCCAAAAAAAAAGTGTGAGAAGAGATGACAACTCATGATTTTTAGAGCCTTACCCTGGTTTTAGAATTGAAGTATTGAATGAGTCTATCAAAGCAGAGATGTTGACTGGATGAAAGCAGGGGACAAATGTTCTGCCTGGAGATGAAACTTTCATGTTCTGGCAAAAAAGACAGAAATGTGAAATGCATTTTTCTTCACTTCCATTTATGTATATTCTGATACATGGAATAAAATTTAGTAGTGTTGCCTCAAACTGAGTGGAAGAGCAGTAGCCTGTATGCTGGAAAAGAAATATGTCATCACTCTTTATAGTGTCCAGCTGCTATTAATCATCTGTTTTTATGTAGTCATGCTTTTTCATTATCTCCTTATATTGTGGACTAAAGCAAATGCTGGTTATTTGGCATTTTAACAGGCTCACGTTTCCTGAAGAGGAAACGTTGTGCTTCTCTTCCCATGTTCCCCCAGTTGTGTTGGCTTAGATTTTCATTAGAACTTTTCTGGGATTTTGCTTCTGATTTCTTAATTATACTGTCACAATTGTTATTTTGGTATCTCTTATACATGATATTGTATGTAACATAACATGTTATTGCAAGATCAATTTTGTTTTCTAATACTTTTGTTATTCTCATGGTAAGAGTGGAAATTTATAATACTCAGTTTTAGCAGGTTTTATGTGGGAACAGGCTTTAGCACCAGTTGGACCATGTGGGGGTTTTTTGTTTTTAAAAACCCAAATCAGTAGTCAAATCTATAAAATGAATGTTGTTTCATTTTAATGGTCCTTGAATTTAAATTTTATTTCATAGTGTAATGCCCCATATGCCTTCAGTCTCACCTCATACGTAAGATGCTTTGTTCGCTGTACTCTTTGACTGCCTGTGTGAGCTCAATCCACTGTGCTTTGTGCATCTTGCTGGAATTTGACAAGAAGGCCTGCACAGGTCTTGCAGTAAGTGTGTCATAGGTGAAGTGTCTCAGTAGGGGTATGGGTACAATGAGGTTCTCATGAACTGAATTGTCTAAATGTTGTTTTAAGAATAAGTGGAAGATAATAGAAATTTCTTTTTCACTTAGTTCCAGTTAATTGAGCAGCTTCCTTTTCTTGTTGCTGAAGTCAGCCAACCAGGCACTGACCTTCTCCAGCACATGTTTCTGTGTTTATAAGACCCAGGATACTTTACACATGAATTCTTTCTTTCTTGTGGAACAAGCTGGACTGACAACTGGTAAGGCAATCTTGAAGCAGTGCAGTGGCATAGAAGTAAGGGGAGGATGGAAGAGAGATGTACCAGCAATTCCAGGACTTAAACCAAAAGAAAAAGTTCTGTGGGAAGGCAGAAAGCATAATTTTGATTGCTGACTCACTGTGTTGGTCTGTAATAGTATCTTACACTAATGTGATGACACTGGCCTATTTTTGAAATAAGGAGGCAGAAAAGAGTAGTTTTTCAGGAACATATTGCTTATAACTGCATGCTACTTTGACAAATATTCTGATCACTTGAAATTCATGCAGGTGGACTTTGGATTCTTAACTCTTTAAAAGAATTAATAGTAAGTAAAATTTACTTTTTCCACTTGAAGAAAAATGAAGTTAGAAATACATCCCTTGAATTGATAAGTTAGGTGAATGAAGTAAATTACGTTCTACTCCCTCCACCCCCTTCCCACTTTCTCTTTTACTCTCCTTCCCATTTCTTTTCATTCTGTGTCAAAGAATAAGGTTTAGGAGTGAAGGAGACACCAAAATTCCTTTTCCTAAGCTAGCAAGCAAATATGGTAGATAATATGCTGCTTAAGAGTCTTGAATCTAAACCAAATTAATTGTAATTTCTAAAACCAATCTCAGTATTCCTAGTTGGAAGTGTGAAAGTGAAGTTTATTTGGGAGATTTGTTTAATTCTTTATCTTGCTTAGGGAAGACACCCATTTTGATGCTATTTATTATTTGTCTTCTTACAGATTGAGGTAGCTAAAGAGGCATCCTTTAATAGTAAGAGTTCCTTATATTTTTTTCAAATTAGTGTGGAAGTGCATGTACTTTTTAGTTGTATAACAAAAATTTTAAAAATGAGAGAATGTTTTAGACATTGAGGTTTTCAGGAGTGGCCCAAAAGAGTAGTGTTGAGAGCATGGTATGTATGCAGGTGGGAATCTGCTTCCAGAGGTTCTTACATCTCAGACTGCTCAAGCAGCGATGGTGAAATTCTCAAAGTGAAGATCAAATGACCCAGTGGAATGCTGAGTTTCAACAGCCATTTCATATTGCCAAGGAGGAAACTTAGCGTTTTGGTGCTCTCACAATCTGCAAGATGCTGCTGTGTAAGAGCTCTTGCTGCCAAACTTAGAGTGCTTACATAAGGTAGAATCCTATTGATCCTGGGGGAGGATGGTGGGCAGAGATTTCTTCAGAAACTGGAGACTTTCTCAGAACAGATACTGCAGAGGCAGAACTGTACCAAGAAATCTAGGTCTCTTTCCAGTGCATATTGAAGAAACTTTTTGCACAGACAATTGCTTTGTAATTTGCCAAAATTTCTTTACTCAACTGGCCATCAGTGGTAAGTATTATTTGTAATGTGTGCCTTGCAGAGGTGAACAGAAAGGTATAAAACAAAAACATGCCTTAATGAAGCTTATAACTGCAGATGTAAAGGGCTTCTCTTCATGCATTTTTTACATATCCTTGAGCTTGTGACCTGTGGCCAGCAGATTTTTCCATGAGGCCCATTCCAATCTCTTTGGTATTTTTAGATGTTGTTTTGGTAGGTTAAATTTATGTCAAGGACCCATCAAGTCCAGCATGTACTAGTAAACTGCAGAATAATTCTAGTCCTATTGTCTGTCCTGCTTACAAAAGTAAGAACAGACTGATGTCAGTCTCTGTTTAACTTCTCTGAAACAGCTGACTTTGTATGAAGGAAAGATAATAAATGCAGTGGGAGAGCAGTAACACTCTTTTGGAAATGTTTGCTTAATTTCATTTAACTTCCTGTGGGAGCATTAGAGGCCTTCTCCTTACTCTTGTTTAGTTGTAGGAGAAAATGCAACATGGGGCTGTCAAGGAGTGAGCATGTGTTTTTTAGGCTCTTTGCTCTCTTTTTGAAATTTGTCTACCAGTGTATAAACTTTAGTGTCTTTTCTGGCGTCCCAGCAATAAATTGGCAAATGAGAAAGAACAGCAATGCTTCTATTCTGGCTGTGGTGCATCACTAGCTTATTAAATACATTAAAGACATCATTTTGGTATGATTATGTAAATCTAGGGATG